TCTTCTTCTTCAGCTGCTTTACCAACTATTCGCTTGCCGCATATTTGAGCAGCTTAATTGCTTAGCTGAAGGCTAGCCGGACTGTCAACGGAAAGTAAAATGCGGCACAGATCCTCCAGCTGGGCATCGGCGGTTCATGCGCTCTTAGACATGTTAATTATGTCGGCGTAGACATTCAATTCCCATCATTATCATTATCACACCAACACACACAAACAGACATATATATGTATATGTATTTAGGTTTGCACATTTATCTATAGTCATGTACTATTGAGTTTATTTGTACTTTTTCCGCGTCATCCTCTTATGTTCCGTTCCAAGAACAGTTTGCAATAGTCGAACAGGTATAGAAATGAAGTACCTATATATCTTTATATACATACAGCTCTATATATACTTATATAGCTGAGCCCGCATGGTGCTATTGAAATACGGAAGCCGCTTAGCTGCCCCTATATCACTCTCCCTCGCTCTCTCTATCTCTATCTCTATCTTCCTCCGTCTCTGTTCTCGTACTCGTTTCGCCGCATCGGCTCATTTCACGCTCTATTCTATCCCCTTGTGTCTCGCGTCAAGTTGGGCACACACAATTGGCTGTCTATTAGCGTATGACTCCGATCCGTGCACAACCTGATTTCTCTCTATGGCCAGCATGTAACCAGATATATAAGTATTTACCATTGACGATCTCGCTACGGTCTGCACTCTCTCGGCCAATCGCTGGCTGGCTAACCTTTTATGTTTTAGAGCGCCTTAGCAGCTCTTGCTACTGTGTATTATTCGTTAATTATTGCTGCTAGACTAATGATTGTATAAATTTCCATTTCCACTTCAAAGTTCCAATAGAACAAGGTCGCCTCCCAATGACCCGCATCGGTGTGCAGTGGCACAAAGCCGATTATCGAAGTCCGGTCACGACGTGGACTGGTCCATAGGTGGCTGCTCCATAGGTTTGACATATATTTCACTTACAATCATAATAGCTTGAGCCACGACTCTATAACTTTTAATTACTTTAATATACATATACAAGTCGGTTGTTAATAATAAAAAAATAAATTAATTTATGAGATATTCACTTAGAATTTGTTATGAACTGCGTATCTATGGTTAAAGTTATATTAAATGCCAACTGATATGATAAATACTGTGTAATTTATAAATTGAAAAGACGATTTTTTGTTAGTTCAAGAAACTGATTTGGAGAAAAAGATCAGTAACAAGATCTAACCTAGATTTTTTTTAGAATAAATGTAACTATATTCTGACACATTTTTCTATTGAATTATCTTCAGTATAATTTCTTCATATAATCGTTGATCTATAGATTAAGATAAAAGTATTATATGAGTATATAATGATAATAGCCATACATCATTATATTCATCTACAGATCGAATGATGTTGCGTAATGAAATTATGAAATTTAATGACTATCAGAATAAGTTAAATGCATTTTCATGTTTTTCGCGTACTTAAACTTTGTTCAAAGTACTCCATATGATAATCCTAAAGTTTCCATATATCTAACATAACTTAACCACCTTTTCTCTCTCTGTTTCCCTCCCCCACTTGCAGAGTAAATGATCGCATAATCACAGTGAATGGCGTCTCGCTGGAGAATGTAGAATATGCCACGGCTGTACAGGTGCTGCGCGACAGCGGCAATACGGTCACACTGGTCGTGAAGCGTCGCGTGCCACTGAACGTGGCAGCAACGAATCCCGCACAGCATCAGCACTCGCACAGCATGAGCTCCGTGGGCCTGGGCCTGACCAATGGCAATGGCAGTGGCTTGGTGGGCAGCCAGGCGCCCAGCGCCGCGCTGTCCAGCATGAGCCAGCCGAACTCGCTGAACTCGTCGCTAGTGCAGAACGGGAGCGGGAGCGGCACACAGCCCATCAAGGTGACGCTGAGCAAGGGCAGCAAGAAGGACGACTATGGCATTGTGCTGGGCTGCCGGCTGTTCGTCAAGGAGATCTCGACGAAGGCGCGCGATCAGCTGACGGCGAACGGCTACTCGCTGCAGGAGGGCGACGTCATAACGCGCATTCACAACACGAACTGCGCGGACACCATGAGCCTCAAGGAGGCCAAGAAGATCATCGACGGCTGCAAGGAGCGCCTCAATTTGGTCGTGCTGCGGGATATTACCAACCAGGCGGTGGTCAATCAGCTGAACAACTCGGGCCATCAGCAGGCCAATGCGAATCTGTATGCCACGCACCAGGCACAGGTGTCCGGCTGCAGCAATAATCTGGATGACGCCTATCTGCCCGGTGGCGCCAGCTACTCCTCACAGAATCTCTACGTGCAGCCGCCCACGCGCACCTCCAACGGACCCAGCATCAATGGCAACGGCCTCAGCGAGGAGAAGAGCAACCTCACGCCGCGTGGACGCTCCCGTGGTCCGCTCATGGACGGCGTCTCGCTGCAGCAGCTGGACCGCCCTGTGACGCCCACCAACGGCGGGCGTGGGCGTGTGGATGAGCCGCCGAGGCCACCACCGCCGCGTGCCGCCCAGGAGGACTTCTATAGCTCGCGACGCCAGCTGTACGAGGAGCGCCAGAGTGCCGAGCCGCGTTTCATCTCATTCCAGAAAGAGGGCAGCGTCGGCATTCGGCTGACGGGCGGTAATGAGGCGGGCATCTTCGTGACCGCCGTGCAGCCCGGCTCACCAGCGTCGCTCCAAGGCCTCATGCCTGGCGACAAGATACTCAAAGTGAACGACATGGACATGCACGGAGTGACGCGCGAGGAGGCGGTGCTGTTCCTGCTCAGCCTGCAGGATCGCATCGATCTGATAGTGCAGTACTGCAAGGAGGAGTACGACGAGGTGGTGACCAATCAGCGCGGCGACTCCTTCCACATCAAGACCCACTTCCACTGCGACAACCCCTCCAAGGGCGAGATGGCCTTCAAGGCGGGCGACGTGTTCCGTGTGATCGATACGCTCCACAACGGCGTCGTCGGCTCGTGGCAGGTGCTGAAGATCGGCCGCGGCCACCAGGAAATGCAGCGCGGTGTCATACCCAACAAGTCCCGGGCCGAGGAGCTGGCCACAGCTCAATTCAATGCCACCAAAAAGGAGATGAATGCCAATGAATCACGCGGCAATTTCTTCAGACGTCGCCGGTAAGTCTCAAAATGTCATTGCTCCGAAGAATGATTCCACTCTAATATGTAAATCTCTGCTTGCTCCTCTGCCAGTTCCACACATCGCCGCTCCAAGAGCCTCTCGCGCGAGAACTGGGACGATGTCGTCTTCTCGGACAGCATTTCCAAGTTTCCCGCTTACGAACGCGTCGTGCTACGCCATCCTGGGTTCGTGCGACCCCTCGTTCTATTCGGTCCCGTCTCCGACCTGGCCAGAGAGAAGCTAGCCAAAGACTATCCCGACAAGTTCTGCACCCCGCTGCAGGATGACGACAAGACCAGCAACGGCAACGGCAGCAGCAGCGCCAACGGCAGCGGCAACAGCAAGTGCCGCATCGTCCGGCTGTCGCACATACGCGACATCATGGATCGCGGCAAGCATGCGCTGCTGGACATAACGCCCAACGCGGTGGACCGCCTCAACTATGCACAATTCTATCCCATTGTCATATTCCTGAAGACCGACAGCAAGCACGTGATCAAGCAGCTGCGCCACGGCCTGCCAAAGGCGGCGCACAAGAGCTCCAAGAAGCTGCTCGAGCAGTGCCAGAAGCTGGACCGCGTCTGGTCGCACATCTTCAGCACGCAGCTGGTGCTGAACGACGAGGAGTCCTGGTACCGCAAGCTGCGCGACTCGATCGATCTGCAGCAGAGCGGCGCCGTCTGGATGTCCGAGTCCAAGGTGAGTTCGATTTGGAAACTTTTACAACAACTGAACTTGAACTTGTTTTGTTGTCTAGTGCCTTGTGTACACGTAGTGCCTAGCCTAGTTATAAGTTCAGTAGCATTCATAGTGTCGATGTCGATGTCGTTGTCGTGAAACTCTAATCATATTTACATACTTACGCAACCTGATAACAGAAACTACTTACGCAACTCGATATGGGTGAGCATGTCGACGCTGGTGATGGAGCTCAAGCAAGAAATGCTTTCCAATTAGACTGTAGAAGGCCTTAAGACTTGCTGAAGTTTT